TTAATAATAATAATAATAATAATAATAATAATAATAATAATAATAATAATAATAATAATAATAATAATAATAATAATAATAATAATAATAATAATAATAATAATAATAATAATAATAATAATAATAATAATAATAATAATAATAATAATAATAATAATATCTTTATTATTATTAATAAAAGTTATAAAAAGAAATTTGGATAGTTACTTGCTACTGTTCGAAGATCACGGAGGATGTCAACAACTTTCTTAGAAGCTCCTTCTTTTATCTTGTCGGCGTCTGCTGAAGCAAATGGGGCAAAATTTTGAAAAAAAAAAGTTACAAGAAATTGTACAGCTTGAGTGGCCAGGGTGAGAGAAAGAAGTGGTAAACTTTGTAAGCAGCGTCCTCTGATCACTGTTTACTTTCACATGATGTAGACTTAAAAGTACATAATGTGACGGGTTAAAGATACATTATGTGCCCACTAAAGTTGGAAGGTGTAATACGAGCCTGCAGTATGTGTATGTAACACTTTATGTAACACAGCATACGGCCGCATGGGGTCGCTTTTAAATTGCTCAAATGCAATTGCCATGGAAAGAAGCTTTTGATTACACTGTCTAGTCCGGGAAGGAGAGCGTATTTTCTTCGGAGTGTTTGCTGGGAGGGGATAAGGCATCCAGCCAGGCTGACTGGGATTAGTATACTATAAAAGATTCACACATACAATTTTACTTTGTATACACATACGCACACACATGCACGCACACACACACACACACACACACACACACACACACACACACACAAACGCACACACACACACACACAAACGCACACAAACGCACATACGCACACACACACAAACATGCACACACACAATTGGCACTGAGAATATAGTAGCCTGTGTATCCCTACACACGATAGTTCCAAAAATATTAATAGTAGCCTATATCATTCTAATAGCTTTAAACACATTATAGTAACGAGGATACTATAGCCTATATCTATTACTTTTACACATACGATGGAACAGAATATATTAATACATTACCAGCCAGTATCTGGAGAAGACTGGCGTCTTCATTTTCGGCCTCATCTGCTTCTTTCTCATCATTGTCAGCTGTGTATGTTGTGCAGGTAGACAACAATGAGTTGGAAATGACATGAAAGGTTTACATTGATAATGAGGGTTCTGTTATATCTGTGTAAGTTACGTAAATGGCTCTATTTATCATGTTATCTGTTATATACATGTATAACCAAAGTAACATGATAAGGGCAGATTGTAATGATAAGATGTGACGTATGTAACGTATGGTTTTTGCAGCATTACATGTTCGGTAAAAATGTCAACTACTAATAGGTTCCATTTGGTTCCAAATGGTATAGGACAGGTTCGGTAAATATCAACAATGAGTGATCTGGTTAACATAATTAAAGTTACATGACAGGTTAAGTTGATAATTACAGTATAGACATAGATATAATAGGATCAAGGTCAGCATTAATGTTCTGTATATAATCATGATTAGTAATACGTTTCACATTATAAGGTGCAAGGAAGGATCGCAATGAGTAATTATTTATATGATCAAAGCTAACAATCGTTAATACGATCAAAGTTACACGGTTTAGTTGAACATGATAAAGAGCTGTAAATATTCAAAGTTTACAATATACGCAATATGTTCTTAGAATGGTTCCTTCTATATTTGTAAGCTAGACAATGTCGGAATGTTCTGAAATTTCTTGGATCCTTTTACGATAAAATATGTCTTTAGCTGGATAAAACTGACCTTCACTGCTGACGGAAAGAAGAAGCGCACATCCAACAATTGTGATGAAGAGAATCCTCATGATCTGTGTTTCTCCCTCTGAAAACAAAAATACCATCGTCATGCTTGTTGCTAAAGTTCTGCATTCTTTTTCATAGCTAGTACACCATACTTTAAACACATGTAGCATTTGTCAATGATTCCAAATTATTTTAGCTAAAAATTCAATTTTATTTTTTTTCTTAATTACATATCTTTCTAATAGAGTTGAAAATTATATTTCCACTAGGGAAAATGGAGAAACATCGAGTTTAATGAGACAAATCATGTGGGTAAGAACGTTGTTTTATGTTAATAGACATCCATGCATTCTATTTGTTAGTAATTTGTTATTACTAAACCATATTATTTACAAATGTACCGTTATTATGATTCAATATTTTCTTGGGTTGTTCCGCGTTTTACGTTTCTTTCCTGTGT